ATTGCAGAACATAGAATGTGCACTTATCTCTTAAGTCCCATCATGGGACCAAGCAATTGCTGTGCATTTAGAGAAAAATTGCATTAAGAGAGGTTGCATTTAGAGAGGTCTGACTGTATCAGATACCCCAAGAATTTCAGTCAAATGGAATGGTTTGCTAGAGACATAACGGTACTCATGAATTTTCAGGTAATGGTTTGATGATAAATGCCATTAGGGTTCATACAAGCATTTGCATGATACTAATGTTGCCTGCTTTCATTATTGCAGAGCAATGTCTTGAAGACGGCCAAAGAAAGCAATTGCTTTATTGACACAATTGAAAACAATTATATCAGCACAGTTTCAGTTCAAGAGACACCAAAAAAGAAAAACAAAGGGAAAAAGGAAACTAGTTCTCCGCCATCGTCAGATCCCAGATCTCCATGTGACCGACTATCGAGATAATTCCAATTTATTCCTCTCCTTTTTCTTATGTGTTATGCAGTCGAAATTACCCGGAAGGTCAAATTTTTCTGCGATAACCTGACCCAGAGGTCAGATCACGTGAAACGAATGACAATAAATCTGAAAATGATTTTACACACGATATTTGCCCTTTCTCTTTTTTATAAAGCATCGTATCAGTAATATCTTTAGAGAGTTGTTCTCTAACCTCCTTATTGACCAGGATAAGCGATGTGCGTTCCCGATTGGATTTTTTATAGTAATTTAAACGATCCAGCAAACCTTTACCGAAATTGAAGTAAGCTCTTATTACATTTTGGCTTGTGTTGACGTTTTGAGTTTCGGCATCAACAATTTCATTATGTAAATGGACAAAGTCGATGGAGTCTGATGATGTAGCTTGTGATGAAGGCGAAGTTATGTTTATATCCAGAACCTTTTCTACTGTCAATTTTTTGATTAATTTCTTTATGATAGAAGACTCTCCTTTTTTACCAGTCTTTTGTCTTTTGACAGGAATTTTTTTACCAGATATACCTTTTTCGGGAACTTTAGCATGCTTAGATGGTAAAACGGAAAAGTTTTCATTAGGCGTTTCATCTGCTTCTATTGTATCATCTGATAAGTCAGGCACTTGAGATGCAAAAGCATCTTCGCTCTGGTTGTACAATCGCGAGAGCTCTGCTTCCTCCTTGAAATGATGGTGTATAACACCACCTAACCAGAGGTAAACATTCCCCATGTTAATCTTTTGACATGATCTATCTTGCGATTTGTGTGTCTCGTAAAGCCTAAAAACTGAAGTTCGCCAATTCCATGAATAAATTGTGCCCTGTTTTTCAATAGAAACACATGAGTTAAAGAATAATATATGCAACAGGATCAGTTTTTGTCTGTTATGCAAAGGATAGTGTGCCTTGTTCATTTCAATAGGTCCTGCTTTGTCCAACACGTGCTTAAATGCAACAAACCAATTGAAGCATGTGCCAAAAATTGCTAAACCAACTACAGTCAAAGCTGGTTATAACAAATTCTATGGGACCAGAGAAAATATTCTTTATAACCAGAAATTCCTTATAACAAAGGTCACTTTTTATAGCTAAGATTATAACTGGCTTGGAGAAAATCTTTGTTATAAACAGATCTTCATTATAAACAAAGTTCGTTATAGCCACTGTACTGAACTACTGAAAAAGTATTCAGTAACTAATTTACCCCTATTTCACAAAATCATTTTTGAACCCTTCCTGCGCCTAACAATACTTCATACTCTAATGATGATGAACATTTGACTTGAATTATATTAATTATGCATATTGTGCTATACATACTCTTTGGGAAAAAAATAATTTCACACTGAACCCATCGTCAAGGTTGGAAGGGTGGTACCAACACAATGTATTAGTATGGAGTCCTCTCATTGATCTGGCATTCCACAACTTGGAGATTGATCTGATACATGGTGAAGGTATGAGTAGAGCATCTAGCAATAGGAAAAATGACAGTGATGATGATACAATTTGTGAGAAAGACCATAAGAAGATATAACAACTGCCTATACTAAACATTCCTAATAACATATTATAAACACTACAAATAGCAAACTCCATACAGCCCAGCTCCCTGCAGTCACTATGACTGAAGGGAAAAGAAAAAAGAAGCCCCTCAGCAGCATAACCATGCTGAAAGAGGACCTTCGAGTAGAGGAGAGGAGCTCCCTGAAAGATGGTACAGTGTTCTCAAAGTCCCTTGGGAAAGTCATAAAGATGAGTAAGCTATCCGAAGCCCCCAATTGTGCCCATGCTGCCATTTGTTCCATCTTTACAAGAGATGAAGAGGAATTCATGAACAGCGATGAACCAGAAGAAGGCACTCCATACTGTGCATGCACCCTCCACTCCAACAAACAGGTTAAGACCTTCCAAGGGCATAAAATCCTCAGTAAAGCTGAGGAAATAGTATCTGATGAAGAAGAACCCTCTTCAAGTAAGCCAGAAGGTACAACTGAAACCCAGGATATTATAATTAGCTCACTCCCAGCAGTAGCCGTAAGAGTCTCTCCAGTAGGCTCACCAGAACTTCAGGCCCTATTCATGAAAAAAGGCCCCCAGCCCTCTGTCATTAAAATGCAAACACCAACAACTCCATCCCTATTCTCACCAGCTAACATATGTGAAATCCAAGGCTGCACCAACATTGCCAGATACGAAGCTAAGGCTGGTAATCAACATTACCAGGGTATGTCTCGAGCATGCCACAGACAACATTAATGGTGAACCCACCTCAGATCAATGCAGACAACATGTCAGCATACTCCCTTTCAACAATCAGCCTAAGTGATAGAGATGGAGATGATAAAGTTAAACAAATCGTCAAGGAACTCAAGACAAAACCCTTGGCCAGCAATACTGCACCTCTGAAGCAAAGGAAAACCAAAAGCAGATCTGACCCATCTAAAGTGCAACAGGTTACCTTTGATATCATAATAAACAAGCATTAACACCAACTTATGATAAACCAAGAAAAAAAAAAGAAAACTTGAAGAAATATAAATATCTGTTCTTTATTATTGTTATTAAAATTATTGATAACTGGGACAAATTTCCATAATTCTTTGGAGTAAGAATAGCAATAAATACAATAATCTTGATTTGCTGTACTCAAGTACTACAAATCTGACACAATTCATGACCAGCAAAACCTGTATCGTTTTAGAAACAATGGGTAAGTATTAAAGGTAATAAAAAGGAAACACTAGAATAAATCACTATGTTTGATCAGCAAATTAACTGTTTCAAGTCCATGGTTATGATGTATGTCCTGTCTCAAAAGTCACTGACCACCCCCTACATTTGTGATTGAATGAGAATACTGGCATAATGAGCAATGCAATTACCATGAAATTAATACTAAATTTAGCACACCTTATAGGTATCATATGCACAAAATATTGCAATATGTTAGATAGTAAAATTACGAATTTACCTAGAGCTGACTTCTATTCAACAAAAACGTTAAAATTAGGGTATGCAAATCAAATATTTAAAAAATCGTTAAAAATTAATCCGCATATAATATTAAGAGTTCTTCTATTAAGGAACGATCTTTCGTTGATAGGTTGCTCAATTGGCAAGGCCTTGATGTGATGCTGTAATTCTTGGGTTCCATAGTGGATTTGATATAAATTAGTTTCATATTGTATTTTTATATAGAGGTAGTTTTATATTAAATTTCAGTCATATTTGCCATAACAAAGCTAAGACAGTCTCCAAATTTATGTCTTAACCACAGCTTTGCCACTAAAGCAAAACTGTCATCAGTAACTGGTTACTTTTCCAGCCATTTTTACTCACATAGTCAAATGTTCACTTTGTCTGGTTTTGTTGCAGCACGCCCCATATCAAACTGATGGATCAAATGTATAGAGAAGGTCGCTTGAAACGGAGAAGGTTCATGACATGTTTGTAGTTGTCAATCTCTATTCGGTTAGTGTTAGGGAGGAATCTTTGTGTGATGCCAACGGTTGCTATTACGGATATTTTCCGCTGTAATTTCATCCCAACTTCTAACTATAAATTGAAGACTACTTATTGTTTAAACATACCATAAACAACAACCACCATGAACAGCGACTAGCAACTGGTACTACAACGGTAAGATAACTTTGAAAGAACGACAAAAAAACAAAGATTCAAATTTCGATTACAAAGAGAACAGTAATAATATAATTTGTCAATAAAAACATCGATCACGTACGTGCATTTAGAAATAATAGTTTATATGTTGCATTTCAGCGTCCCAAAGCTCGAGAAGTTTATTTTTTACAATCCAAAAAGGAAACAATATTTGCCGATTCCGAAAGACTTGGTAAAGATGTGTGATACAATCGACTTTTGTTGCTGCAAATGAATGAGGTCTATCTAGTTTTTGCGACAAATATCCGCACATTCCTTTTCTATTTCCCTCCAATCAACGATGGATCCAACTCAACAACAAGTCGCACCTAGCTTGAAGCGTATGAATTCCTCCTCCTCCACGACTTCTAACTCTTCTCGCTCAGCCAAACGTCCGAAACTTGCCAAATCAAACACAATTCCAGTTCCTGCCCGAAACACGAAACGAGTAACCACACCTTCCTCTACTTCCATCAATGTTCCAAGTCTTCCCTCAAACTCACGCCCAATTCGTGGAGGCGCGCCTAGTTCTGTGACCGTTTCTAACTCAAATCGTCGAGGAAGCGGTCGCAGATCGCGGCAACAGTCGATAAGTATGCCCGATTCTACTTTCACGACACCCTCACCATTAACACCAGGGTCACCTACAACGCCCAGAGAATATTATAATTCTGTTCCACCCACACCCCGTGATGGTGAGATGTCTGAGCAGCAATCATTTGGAGACGAGGATGGAAAAGAGAGAAGAGAAGAGGGTGAGGAGGATGAAGAGGAGGGAGATGAGTTAGTAGAGTATGATTGGCACGTGCAAGCTCAAATGCAAGGACGGAGTAAAGAAGAATTGAAGTAAGCGAATAGTCTGTTAAAGACAAATTGGGAAATTGCGAGGCAAGGGTGAATCCGGTAATTTACACGGCTTTTCTTCCCTCATTCAAAGAGCGTTATTAGATAATTTTTCCGAGGAACAATTACAACGATACGAAGTTTTCCGAAGATCTGCTCTAAACAGAGCGAATGTCAAGAGGGTCATTATCAGTGCTTGTTAACCATGCTTTTCCCTCTTCTCTCAATTTATCATGCTGTCTATTTACTTTGCTCCTCAATTCCATTATCACCAACTTGACCGTTTATTTTCAGCTTGTATCTCAAGTACTCAATCAACCTTGCTCTCAAACACTGGGTTTCGTTGTTGCCGGGTTTACTAAAGTGTTCGTAGGCGAGATCATTGAATTAGGTATGTTAGAAGTTTAATTTAAAATAAATCGTACCCTATTATTGATTGTGGTTTCGTTTCATTATAGCACGTCGGGTGCAAAGTGAATTGGGTGAGAGTGGACCCCTTACACCAGAGCATCTGCGTGAAGCCCACAGAAGATATAAGAAGGAAGCTGGTCATGCAAATGCTCTGTATAAGAAGCGGTTGTTCTATCATTGACATTGGGTGGCGGATGAGTGAAAGCGAGGAGTAGTGTAAAGACAATAGATTAAATAAATAAGCAAGTGAATAAATAATAATAACTATTGTTTCTTAAATTGGTCTACTAAGTCGCTACTCTCCTTCCTACTCTGCCATGAATGGGAGCAAATCTGGATCGAGTGACGAGTACTTGCCAATGAGGCCCTCTTACTCTCCTTTGCCTCTGGTGTATCCTGCAGTGAAGAGATCCCAGCTGGGTCTGAGTAGTGGGTCATGGGAATGCCCAGAACATCCCCTTCTTTTACACAGCATTTAGGTTACAGGGAGGTTTGGGAAAAGGAGATGGTAAGGATAAATCTAAGTAATTTTTTTTCCTGGTGGGTAACACTTGATGGGTTTGGGGACAGATTTGGTGGCTACTTGGCTACTTGTGAAGGTCAGAGGGAACAGGGTCAGCTTGCTGGTTGGCATGCCAGTTTAGATGCAAGAGCCTTGTTGTCTAATCCATTCCTTATTTATCTATTACTATTGTTTATTTATTTATTTAATATGAAATATTGTAATGTAATGTAATGTAATGTAATGTAATGTAATTGTAATGTAACACTAGATTTTTATGTAATTGTACTTAATTTTTCCTACATAATGTATATACCCCTCTGTGAGCTATATTACTATACCTTGCAGCAATTTGAATGCCAAATTTTGGTTTATACCCGGTATTAGTTATGGTATTCCTCCGGCATATATACCCCGTGATTTGTAATGTGCAACTCACACAGCGACCTCCCCATTTTGTCCGCATAGATCGAAATGTGATTGGTTGATCATTGATCTTGATAAATTTT